TTCAAATGGTTGGTTATTCTACGTCCAGTGTGCCTCACTAGTGTTTTTTTGTTCCCTGTCTAACTTTGTCCTTTGTTTGGCTGAAATTAGAACCACCGAGGAGAGTTCCGTTCCACGTGTAAAGGTGACTGAGGGCCATAGTCTTGGGGGTTCCACCAGTCTCTAGCTAACCAGTAAACCTGAGCTCCTTCATGATTTGGGGTTGTGTTCCACATGTTTTCCCCACTCGATCCAGGACCTTGAGATGTGACCCCTTTGAGAGCATCTAGTTCTTCTGGTCTCAGGTTGTGGAGACTGAGGTTTGTGTGGCCCCTGAGTCCACTGGATGAATTGTTTCCCTGTATCTTTTGATTTTCATCACTCTTCTTCCCTCCTGAAGTGGGAGAGACCAGCGGTTGTACCTTCAAAGGCCACTCACAAACTTTTTTAAGACCCCAGTTGGTAAGAAGAGCAACTCTCTTAGGTACAGAATCATTGAAAATCAGTCTAAACTTTTCGTCACCAATCAAGTGTTATTTTTACAATTAGAATGATGGTGATGGTGATGATGATGACAAAGGAAGATAACAAATGCATAGCCAACTATAATTCTCCTTAAGATAACACATTGCACCTTCAATCACTCTCTCTCAAAAGAAAATAGTGTCCAGCCAAACTGTCCCCAAGATAATTTACAATCTCTTCTCCCATTCTTACCAGTGTCCCGGCATGGCCTTCCCCTCACCTCATCATGCATCCATCCCCAGGTCAATTAATCTGATTCCAACCAATTGTTAGGCCCAATTTTCTTTTTCACCCCAAAGCCATTTTATTGGGAGCAAATACAGATATCATATCCTCCTTCTATAATTTAATCACATCAAGCAGTATTGTTCAATGAAGCCCAAATTTCTTGACATGCTACATTGGGGCAGTACAGCATGACCTCTGGAAGAGAGCTTCTGGGAGACTGAGGACCTCTTGGCCACCAGCACTGAGGACAGGTGTTGGGGGAAAGGTATGACCCATCCACATGGTGGGAACTTCAGCAGGACAGGCCTCCTGGCTTCTCCCCTCCCCTTCACAACCAAACCAAACTCACTGCCATCAAGTCAATTCCAACTCCTAGCCGCCCTACAGGACAGACTAGAACTGCCCCTTTGGGGTATTTTTAGGGGAGTAGAAAGCCTTGTC